AATTTACAGAATGTTAACACGTACAGATTGATTGAAGAATAATACAGTTTTCAACAAAATTATTTTAGGACTTTGATTAAATAATTGAGATTACTACCCTCTCTTCACATAATATCTGTATCACATTTAAAATTTTCATTGTCCTCTTTAATAAAACTATTTTTGTCTAAAATGACAATAAAATTTTTGAGTAAATTAACTATATTGAGCGGGTTGTGACCCGACTCAGCACTTAGGGCCAGGTAGAACTTAAGGCCCCGAGGCCCGAAGTAAGCCTGAAACGCTAAAAATTTCAGCTTTTTTCAATATGAAATTTCCAAAACATTCAGCCCATATTACTAGGCAAAATAAATTCTTCATAAATTATTTATACTCGGCCGCAAGAATTAAACATCTAACATTTCACGATTGGAATTCCAATTTTACAATACATCACAATTATAACATGAAGCTCTCAGAATCATATGTCAATCTATATTAATACATCGACTAAAATATATTAAATTCTAACAAACTGCAGAGTCACTTGACTGTTTGAATATACACTAGATTTTTATAGCATATAGATATATGGCAAAATTAAGTATTGAATGCTAGGGAATATTTTCTTTTTTAGCCCTTACGATGAGAGAAACATAGCTTACGAATTAAAGAGAAACTTACTGTCCTGAAAAATATAACAAGATATGCTGAGCTTCCTAAGGAGTAATATAGTTATTGCACAACAACACGCAAAACAAAGGTGTGTTAAATAAATATCAATGTAGCGTCAATCCGACTAGTATATATGCTGCACATAGTCCAGTTCACACAAATGCATAGTCACCAAGCACACAATTGATTTCATATTCACATTAATCACATCACGTGATGATTATCAGATAGCGTCAACCGGAATACCCGCAACGAGCGTTCCTCACACAGTGGCTCGGCTCCTCTCATTAGCGTGTGCAAAATCCAGGGGAACCGATCCCCCATACATGGCCTGACCGGTCTAAATCCTCACTTGACCAAGCCCTTCAGTGTTTGTTCCATGTCTCCTCGTTTTCTTCCATACCAATCCAGGAGGCACCAGTCTTTTCCGTCAAATCTAGATCCGTCGGCTCACACAATAGAAGGACACCCCTGCAGGCTAACCATAAAAATCCAAATTATCGTAGGTGCGCTAAAGCCACCCTGTGGTTTCGTATATAATCCATGATCATCCAGTGCACAACGGGGGGTGCCGTGATACTGCCATTTACCTGGCCGAGCGTCAAATCTCCACAATCGCCATTAATTTCATCATGATTCAGAGATGGATCCATATTTCAATATTGATATCTTCACAAACGCCATTTGTGACCACTTCATCCCCAATTCCAACACAAACAGACAAATTGTCACAGTTTTTCACAGAAATCAATACATTGCGCATATTAAAATAACAGACATATTGATTCAATTAAACAGTTTGTACATGCAACTGCACAATTAGAACATCCATACTCAAATGCAAAGTGAACTAAATAAATAGATATAAATATATATTAACAAAAACCAACAACGATGAAATAAATAAATAATAAACAATAATAATGAAAATAAATAAATATGGATATAATTACATGAATATAATGATATAATGAAATAATTATAGTAATAAAATCTAAATGTATTAAGTTATTAGAATTAATTCGTTAAATAAACTTGATTTAATCTTATGTTGTATTAATTAAAACTAGTCTAGGTTCTAATCGATTTTTCGGCTAGCAACCTTCTCTCTAAAATTTGTGACTAAAGCGCACAATTCAACAAATTATAAATATGCAAAAGCTTAATCTGTCGGACAATTCACATCAACTAGTATCCGTTCCGCCATAACCCTTATTTATCATCGTCTTGATGCAATCAATTCCAACACAGCCCATATCCATCGAGGGGGCAAATCAATCCAAACCAAACCCATGCGCTTCAGGATATATACATTTATCTGCATCACACTCAACATATATGATACTGTAATAATTCCAAATCAATTAAGTTAAACAATTGATATTAACCTCCAAGCATGATCCATATAATAATTATTAATTTAGCTCTATACACATTACTTGTCTAAGCTTAAAATTATTAACTCCTCCTAGACATATATAATTAATTAAAGATTCCTGAATTTACGGGCTTACGCAATTTGATTAGCTAGGAATTCCCTTAATCCTCAATACCGGAACCTCCTCGTTTGTAACTAATGTTCATGAAATATATTAAATAATATTCAAGAGTCTTATCAATTATCACCGGGACTTATTCTTAGCAAAATTATATTTGGATTGATTACCATTAAAATTCAATTTAATTAACTAATAATTATTTAAAAGTTTAGTAAATTTAATATCGGAGTAATTGGGGAAGATGTTGGTCTTTAGACACGTAACTAATTGAGAACGGGTGACGATTCCATGATCAGGCGCGTAAAGAGTGAAGAGAATTCTTGTCTCACAGGCCTCGCCGGGGAATATTCGCCGGCCGTGTTCCCAGCCCAGAAGCCGTCCGCCGCCGTCCGCTGTTGCACAGTGGCCGAAAATTTTCCAGAAATTCCTTCGAGATTTACAACCAAAAATGATCGAAATCTCCTAAAGAGCTCAAATCCATTTGCTCGTTTGTTGAAAGATGGTGGCCTCGTTATGGCTAAAATGGCGTTGACGCCGCTGTCTTCCTCCTTCCTGGCCGTTCATTCCTCCCTTGCGGCGCATCTGCAGGAGTTAAGGCGGTGAGAAGAGTAACATCGCACGAGAGGAGGCGAAGTTGCGATCGGTACTCGTCTTCTCGTTGAGAATGGCCGGATGACGGATGGAGACGCACCTGAACGATAGGAGAAGCGAGCGTTTGTCGAAGGAGACAGTTCCACTTTTGGCGTTGATGAGATCCGATCAGGGGCCAGGGAAGTGCTGGGCAAACCAGACCGGCCGACTCCAAGGTTAAGTCGATCACCACCTCCCTTGAGTCCGGATGGTGGCCGGGAAACGGCTGAGGGAGAGGAGCGGTGCTGCCTAGCTCAACACTAAAACGAAGAAAAGAAGAAGAAGGAGAGGAAGAAAGAAGGAAATAATATAGGGCAGTTTTCTAAGATCATTCCGCGGTTTGATTCGTAATCGGTTGATTCTGATTCAAAATGATTTGACTCGATTTTCGCTGTGATTCCTCCGATTTTTCACTGGTTTTCAAGTTATCCGGTGGTTTTGATAAAATCAATTTATATCCGGGTTACGGTTCGATTTATTGATTTATTTTAATTAGGTTCCGTACATTTCCGTCCATTTAACTTCAAAGTAAAATAGAAATATAAATATATATGATATTTGTTTAGATTAATCTTAAATATATATGTAATATAATATATACTATGATAGGGATTAATGCGTGCTGGAATGTTTCAATTAGTTATTTCTCGAAAATTTTAACTATTCTCAGATAGAAAATTTGACGATTGTATTTTTGGGCTTAGGCACCTACTCACTATACTTGGCGCTCGAAGTTGCATATTCTTTTATTATATCTCGCAAGCCCAACAAAGCGGATCAAATTTTTGATTTTTTGATTATAATAAAAATTCCAAAGGTTTTATAAAAATAGTAAAAATTCGGGAGTTTTCAATTACTCTTCATTAATATTAATTCTCTAAAGAAAACCATTAAATTTAATAATTACTGAGATCATTATATCAAAGGTGGTTAGAACATGGAAAAAAAAAAAAGAATTTATTAACTCATTAAAACCACAAATGTATGATAAGTTATGTTGATGAAATATAAACTATTTCTCAATTAATAAGTATTATGAAGACAGATGTAATGATTATAATTTTTTCAAATAATAAATAAATTTAGATTAAAAAATTATTTTTTTAAGTTGACTTTGTTTAAGGCTACTTGAATGACATCTTGTATAAATAAAACAAGAGGAGAATAATATATTTATAAAAAATAATTACTCTAAAAAATTTATATATTACATAAAATAGATTACTTTAGTTCTTTGTGGTGTGAGAATAACTATTTAGTTGTTGTGTTTCCCCGTACTGTTGGACCGCTGAATAAATAAATCCTTCAAAAATGTATACTTCTTGCTATTAAATTCTATTAAAAGAAACAATATCCTTTATCCCTATTTTAAAATTCATTTAAATGACATAATACTTTAGTTTTTTAATAATAAATAAATTAATTATTTATATATTAAAGAATAATTTTACTTAAAAGAAGTATAATAATTAGCATAGAAATGTATTTTCGTCTTTTATTTTTTTCCATTCAAATTTACTGTAAAATAGTACAAAGACTTTAGATATGTTGCTCATAAAGTACCTTAAAAAGACAGGAAAAATAGTTCGTCTCTCACATTAAGTCCAAAAAAAAAATACTCTAAGACTACGACCTTGCAATTAGGAGTTTGTTAG